TTGAAGGCCTTGATTTGTTGAGGATCCTAAGGGAAATGAAGAACTAGTTGGAAAGGATATTTGAGTAGGGGAAATCAAGGAGGTTGCCTTTTCTGTGGATAGATGCAAAGCTCCGAGACCTAACGGCTTCACAATGGCATTCTACCAAGATTGTTGGGACATTCTAGAAGAAGATTTGTTAGGAGTGCTTGAGGAGTTCTATGAAAGAGGAGTAATTAATCGGGCCTTAATTCAACCTTCATTACTTTGGTGCCAAAGAAAAGTGATGCAACTCATCCTCGTGAGTTTAGACCCATTAGCTTGGTGACTAGTTTCTATAAAATTATAGCAAAGGTCCTATGTCCCTCTTATTGTCTCTCCAAATCAAGGTGCTTTTGTAAGGGGTAGGAAATCACCAACCAAATCCTAATTGCCAATGAATGTGTGGAGGATTACAAAAGAGTTGGGAAAAAAGGCTTTGATTGTAAGTTCGACTTGGAAAAAGCTAATGATATGGTGGGTTGGTCATTCTTGGTGGAAATCTTGAAGAATTTTGAATTTGGAGAGAGATGGTGTAAATGGATAAGAGGATGCTTAAGACCTATCATTACTCCCTATTGGTGAATGGAACTATGGTGGATTTCTTCCCAACCTTAAGAGGGATTAGACAAGGAGATCCCCTATCTCCCTTTCTCTTCACTCTAATTGTTGAGGTCCTCGGAATGCTTATTGCAAGGGCAGACTCACTTGAGTTGTTGAGGGGCTGGAAGGTTGGTCAGGGTAGTGCTCCAAGTACTCATTTGCAATTTGGAGATGATACTTTGTTGTTCTGTGAAGGTGGTAATAGGAATAGGGTTAGGAATCTCAAGTGGGCAGTACAATTCTTTGAGCTAATCTCCAATCTCAAGGTGAACTTCAACAAGAATTGTATTATGGGTGTTAATATGGAAGAAATGGAGATGCTGGAGTATGTGAATATCTTGGGATGTGAGGTGGCACAAAGGTCGTTGAAGTATGCTTATATCTTTGGGGGACGATTCAAAAAAGAGCAGTTTTTGAGATCCAATAGTTGAAAGGTTTCTTAAGAAACTTGCTTCTTGGAAGAAAAGTTATTTGTCTTTAGGGTGAAGGATCACTTTGATAAGAGCTACTTTAGCCAATCTACCTATGTATTTTATGTCTGTCTTTAAGATGCTAGTGAATGTGAGCAGAAAATTTGAGAAGTAGATGAGGGACTTCTTATGGGAACCAAGGGAGGAGAAAAAGGACTATAGAGTAAACTAGGAAATGGTGAGTAGAAGCAAGAAGTTCGGCAAGTTGGGTCTAGGCAATTTACAAGAGAGGAATACAGCTCTACTGGG